TCTGTGCTCCTGCACTCTGAAGATGCCGGTCACAGGTGCTGGTGAAACGTTAGGAAACAAAACTTCCAGAACATGGCCACACAGCCCGGAAGACTCACACCAGCCAAACTCTGTAATGTTATCAGTTTTATTTTTTATTGCACGACTGCCTATTTTACTTGCCAACGTGCTTGGAAAAATCAGAATTGTTTTCTGCCCAAGTACAGACACTAAAACCTGCTGCCATCTCCCCTAGCTTTCAACATACCTGGAAGTGTGGACTAGAGACACATTTGGCCAACTGTCTGAACAGAGGTTCCATAACTTTCACGAACTCAGAGGGCTCAATGACATCCAATATTTCTTCCAGCTCATTCAGAAACATAACTTCCTTGGGGCTGTGTGTTTTCGGCCAAAATTTTAGCAGTCCCATTATCACCTAAAAGAGTTAAGCAAGCAGATTATGCACAACTGATTATGTAGTCTAGAAGCCTTTAGTTTTGGAGAAATCTTTACAACATTATGCATCCCATATAGCATGGTACATAATATATACAATACTTATAAAACATTTCTGCCTCCCGTACACCTACCTGTATGTGTAACTTCTGAACAGAATAAGATTTTTAAGATAGACAAATAGATACAGAAGGTGAGATAAAAATCTAAACAATAATAATAATAATAATGCCACCTTCCCCCAGCGAGGCTGTCAGGATCTATGCAAGCTAGAAACCTTAGTTGTTGTTAATTTAGTTTAGCAATGCATAGTAAATGGTTAAACAGTAAAAATGTTAATTGCAGGCCGCTTGCTTGTTCCTGCCATTGAAGTTAGAAGAACGGGGAGAAGAAGATACCAAGCCAGGTGCTGCTGTTATCTCTACAGAGGCGCCAACAAGATCAAGTAACTGTGAGAGCCAGAGCAAGGCGTGAAGAATTTCAAGCGGGAAAAGAAAGGAGAACAGGGGGAATTTGGGCTTAAAAAGGGAATGCTTTGCTTTGTAGAATTAGACTCAATAAACTATAGCTGCTGTGCATTTCTCCCAATAAAGAAATCTTTGATGGAACTGTTTAGACTCCAGAGGATTTACTGAACTTTGGGAATGAGTGTGCAGACTCTGACATTTTGTTGAGTCTCACTATTGCAAGTGAGGGATTTACCGGGGGGGGGGAAACCTGCTGTGGAAATCCCTCTCACCAAACGCCCAGCTGCTGCCGGAATGGAGGAGCCGAGTGCTGACCTAGGAGCGGTGGGGGGTTGCAAAGAGAAGGAAGAAACCCTAACAACCTTCGCACGCCTTCCCACGCCAAGCGACCCCGAACGGCACAAAGCCCAGGTATGGAACCGGGAAGAGCTGTTTGGGGGAACGTCATTCCTAGAGATGGAGCCAGAAGAGCATTGGGCCCTGGCTACCGGCCGAATAGAATCCACCCGGATGGGAGCCTTGGAGGAAAGCGTGAGCCTGCTGCAAGCCGAGAACAGCATGATGCAACAAGAAAGGAGAGGGCTGGGCGACCTGATATGGTGTTCAGGTATGTTCCGGGGCCCCGAGGCAAAGCGAGATTACGGAGAGGAGAGATTGGGAGCTGCGTGGCTAGCCACCCCCCCTCCTCCTGCGATGTTAGCTCCAGCAGCTTCTGTAGCCCGGGGTCCTCTGCCTGCTCCAGCCGCGCTGGTTGTGCGCCCACCTGCTGCCCAACGGCCGGCCGCACCTCCCCAAGGCAACCAAGACACCCTTCTCAAGCGCTGGGGGTTAAGTGAGAAATTCAGCAGAGATCCGAACGAATTGGCCAGCTTCATGGCTCACGTTACCTTGTGCATGGAGCAGACTGGCCATCTATTCGCCTCCGACATGGAACACGTGATCTATGTTTGCAGGGCGCTTTCCGAAAAGGCAGGAGAATGGCTGATCGAAATGCGCGAAGCCCAAGCACCCGAACTCCACCACCTCGGCAGGTTTCTAACAGCCCTGAGGAGGAGGTTCGAAGATCCGGGAGCAGCCACGAGGGCTCGCTCCCAACTGGTTAAAATGTGGCAGGGATCCCAGAATGTCGGCGAATACGCTTTGGAATTCCGGAGCCTTGCGGGGAAGCTTCCCCATTGGCCGGAGGAGTTTAAAATTTCCTGCTTTCAACAAGAGTTGCAGCGTGATTTGTGGCAGCTAGCCTACTCGCGAGGAAACCCATGTACCGTTGAGGGATGGATCGAGCACGCCGTGCAAGTGAAGGGTGATTGGATGGCCATGGATCCAACGTTCAAGCAGCAGAGCAGCGCGCCTGCGGAGGCGCCTCGGAAACCGCCAGCGAGAGGAGGAGATGAGAGTTTTCCCAGAGCGGCAAGGCAACGCGTCTGTTTTCGTTGCGGAGAACCAGGTCATTCTGCCCCAGCCTCCACCAAGCTGATGCCTACGTGTGCATAGGAGCCGCGGAAAATCCCAGGGGCTGCCCAAAAACCCGCAGCCTGCAAAGGGAAGAAGGGAACTGCAGTTGGGGGAACGGAATCGCCGTTCCCAGATCCCATCATCTATGAAGAAGGATCGGTGGTGAAGGAGCAAGAAAACCCAAATGGCCAGCCCAGGAGGGCTCCTGACAAAATAGCGGGCGCGACGGACGACGAGGATGACGATTCTGATGAGGACAAGGGGGTGAGTGTTACCACCATAAAAGTGACTATCTCAGCACCCAGAACGGAGCGCAGAGCTACGCTTATGGCGTTAATGGACACAGCCTGCTCGTGCTGTTTAATCAGTCCAATCCTTGTCAATGCTTTAGAACTAAGAGTGAAAAAATTGAAAACCCCCATAGTATTTAACCAGTTGGATGGATCTCAAGCAGGGGGAGGGGCTGTGCTGTACGGCACTGAACATTTTGAACTACAAGTGGGAACCCACCGAGAGACTCTTAAATGTTTAGTGGCTCCTTTGGGAAGTTATTCCCTGAACCTGGGAGCAAACTGGATAAAACGGTGGGACCCTAGAGTCTTTTGGAAAACAGGGTGAATGCAGTTTGTGGATGGGATTTACTTGGGTTTTAACCCACCTACAGGGGAAGGCGTGATGGCTGCAGCTGCAAGCAGCAGGGTTCTGCCTCAAAGCCTGGACTCTGAATTGATTGAAAACATTCCAAAACCCTACAGGGATTTAAAAGCTGTTTTCAGCAAAAAAGAGTCAGACACACTGCCTCCCCACAGAGACACTGACTGTGCTATCGAAATTGAACCAGGGGCTAAATTCCCAAAGAAGAGAA